GGGGAGGAGGAGGACGGGGGTTTGAGAGTCTGGATGGTCTGACTGATTGGTTTCGGAAACTTGGGATGGTGGTGGTTTTGCAGATGGTTGTCGGGGGGGAAGGGGGGGAGGAGGAGGGGGGGTCGAGAGTCTGGGAGAGGAGGGGGGAGGTTGAGAGTCTGGATGGTTTGACTGATTGGTTTAGAAAACTTTGGATGGTGACCTTGAACCGTTTTTCGCTTGGCGGTTTTGCAGATGGTCGTCACTATAGAAAGTGTGGAGAGCCCAGGCGCAAAGGAGGGGGAGGCGAGAGAGGATGGCAAGAACACGGAAGAGAAGGAAGCTCTCACATCGTCATCCGATGATGCGGGAGACAAATCAGATAGCCATCCTCCACTTCCCACCATGCAGTCACAGATTAATATTATGTGGGGAAATGTACTCTTTGAGCACTCGCAAGTAGAGGTAAACTACTCTTTGTTTCTGTCCCCTCTGTTATCCTCTCTTATCTTCTCTCGTCCGATCTCATCCTCACTCATCTTCTGTTGTCCCCTTTTATCCCCTTTTAAAGTCGCCTGTCCTCTCATATCCTCTCTCATTGTCACATTCTCTATCTTCCTCCGTTGACTTGCACGCTGTGTGTTGGTGTCCTGTCTCCACTAGTTTGATTTGACGTCCTCTTTTCTTTTTTCATTTTTCCCCGTATGTCCCTCCTAGCTGTTATGCGAAAGGGTTGTCGCTGCTAGAATCTCTGTAGAGTTTGTAGACTGTACGTATTCCATCTTAATGTTATTGTGGATTTGATGTGCAGCAATCAAATTTTCAAAAAAGGCAAATGGTGATGGAATGCGTTACTCTTGGGAGATTTAATGAGGACGTTAATCATGTCTAGGTGTCGAGGTTGTCACTATCATCATCTACCTCTGCGTGAGCAGCAGATTCCAATCTCTCTTTTTCTCAGCTTCTGAACCAAGGTCGCACCACTTACCTCAGTCTTGCAATTCCGGCAGTTGATCTTTGTGTAATGGGCGGTGTCAAAGCAAGAACCTGGTCAACCCTCTGGCAAAGATTCATGTGGGTCGAACCCTTTGTACATACTACATAGGCATGAGGGGCAAAGACTGCGCAGTCTTTCTCCTCCTACAAAGTCGAGGTCAGTTGTTCAGAAGTTTCGATGCTCCATTAACATTGCCATCATGTTTTCAACTTTTCGTGGTAATTCTCTCTTTTGCCTTTTCTCAGTTTTCGGCTGTATGCTCTTTCTCTAAACTTAGTCATCATAGTAAATGTGGGGATGGATTGGCAAATGGGAGGATGGATTATCAAGTGTTAGAGTACCTTCGTCTTTCTATAATATTTTATTAGTTAAAGGAAAGTAACCTGTATCTATTAATATTATATAAGTGATCAAGTCAGCTAAGCGATGGACTGCATTGACTTCATTTGGTCTCATCGGACTTTCTCATCTTCACTGTAGTTAAGAGCTCTCTGGAGATTATCACATTCACCCCTCTCTCTCTCTCTCTCTCTCTCTCTCTCTCTCTCTCTCTCTCTCTCTCTCTCTCTCTCTCTCTCTCTCTCTCTCTCTCTCTCTCTCNCTCTCTCTCTCTCTCTCTCTCTCTCTCTCTCTCTCTCTCTCTCTCTCTCTCTCTCTCTCTCTCTCTCTCTTCCTTTTTAGCATCTTCAGAATCTCTGAGACCCGGAAAAGGTGATACCAAATTGTCCTGGAGATGCAAGATATTGCCAGCAGAGGTCTATTCAAAGTTTCAAAAGCTCAAACTAAGTCACCTCTGATCTCTTTCCTGTTTGTCCCTTTCCGTTTTCATGTTTTTCGCTCTCTCTGTTGGTGAACCTTCTCATGGTGCTCAGTACCGTCTACACAAGAACACCTGGAGGGGCTTGCTTGACAAAGCACTGGACAAGTTTCAGCAGGCGGGATGTAGCCAGGATGATATAACGTCCGCGCTTGGAAACCATCCATGCATGGATAGCCCGGATGCACCAATTCCGATCGCGTTGGCAGGTGGGGTTGCGCCTGAAGAGATCACAAAGAAGATTGCAATTGCGACCCAGAAACACGCAGAGAAGGATGGTGAGTCAGGAGGAGAGGCCGAAGTGAGTGCAAATGGTGTTGAAACGACGGAGCAGGGCAGCAAGGAGTCTGTGGAGGTCGATGCGAATAACAAAGATAAGCTGGAGGTTTCAGCTGCAAGCTGATCTACCTGAAGCTTGGGGAGGTGGAGAGGGAGAAGTTTGTTTCCGTGAACAACAACACGAATAAATGGGTACGAGGTCTTTTTGTTGGTGGTTATCCCAGGTGTTTGCTTCTGGACGGAAAAGCAGTACATCTCAAAAGCCAGATCCAGTTTCGAAAAGAGTACATGTTTTCCTGTTGTTGTTGTGGTACTTTGTAGTTTGATATGGAGTATGGTAGGGAGATAGAGGGGGGGGGGGGGGGGGGGGGGGGGGGGGGGGGGGGAAGGGGGAAGGCAGATGGAGCTAAGTGTTGCTAGTGAGGCACATATGGTCTGTCCATTGGGTGTGAGACCCTATCCTTGCCTTGACCATATTGTGAAGATTCTTTTGTGAATCTCTTCGTCCTTTTGTCAGACGACAAGGGTATCTTGGTTGCACAGAAGCCTTTTGGAGACTGAGGACTTTTCAGCAACCGAAAGGACAACTTGGATGCCGCGGTGCATTTCGTAGTTTGTCCGGTGTGCTACCTTCAAAGTCAGAGGGGGAGAGAGAGAGAGAGAGAGAGAGAGTGTGAGGGCATACTCGCACTCGGACTGTTTCTCCTAAGCTTGAGACAATTTTCTGGTCAGGTTCATCTACGTCGGGAGACCCTGTCCTTGCCTTGACCATACTTCGAAAATTCTTTGTGAATCTCTACCTCCTTTCTGCAGACCTCAAGGGTATCTTGTCTGTGCAGAGAACTTTTGGAGAGTGAAGACTTTTCAAGCTTGAGACAATNTTTGTGAATCTCTACCTCCTTTCTGCAGACCTCAAGGGTATCTTGTCTGTGCAGAGAACTTTTGGAGAGTGAAGACTTTTCAAGCTTGAGACAATATTCTGGTCAGATTCATCTACGTCGGGAGACCGTCCTTGCCTTGACCATACTGTGCAAATTCTTTTGTGAATCTCTACCTCCTTTCTGCAGACCTCAAGGGTATCTTGTCTGTGAAGAAAACTTTTGGAGAGTGAAGACTTTTCAGCAGTGGAAAGGACCAACTTGGATGCCGCAGTGAGCATCGTAAACGCTGGGACTCTTGTCCTTGCCTTAACCATACTGTGAAGATTCTTTTGTGAATCTCTTCCTCCTTTTGCAATTCGACAAGGGTGTTTTGGCTGTGCAGAGAACTTCTGGAGTCTGAGGTCTCTCTGGCAACCGTAAGGACAACTTCCGGATGCTGTGCGCATTTCTTAGTTTGTCCAGTGTAGTGCTACCTTCAAAGTCAGAGAGAGAGCGAGAGCGACTGAGGGCATACGCTAGGACTTCTTTTACTTTGCTTGGGATGATATTGTGGTCAGATTCATCTACATCGGGCAGTAATTGCAGGCAGATACATTCAGGAAAGGACTAGTCTGAGTATATGCCCTGAAAGTTAAATCTGTGGGAATGTGTCCACCCTCGGAGGTGCTTTGCTCACCCCCTTGGCCCATCCAGCATATGCTTCTGTTTTCGGACTTACTTCCTTTTTGTCAACTCTCGAGAGGTCCAACGGAGTTGAAAGCTGCCAAAGGTCAGATATTGAGAACCTGCTCAGTACAGAGGGACACACAGATATAAATCAACAGTTCTCTCGATCGCCATGGGCATCAGTAATGTGGTGCTCTGATCAACAATCAGCTTTGGCATTTGCATACCTTTTGTGCACAGTTTCTGCGCACGAGCACATGCAGAATTTCTCCCAAGACGTGTAGTGATTGGAGTTGCATGTGTGTTAAACTTCTTGAGACACACTGTTAGAGAGAGAGAGGGAGAGAGAAAGAGAGAGAGGGAGAGGGGTTAGGAAGGTGGTGGGGGGGGTGCTTGTGTGTGTGTGTGTGTGTGTGTGTGTGTGTGTGTGTGTGTGTGTGTG